TATGAAGAGTTTCCATAATTCTCATTTATCCAATGGTTTTAACTTAAATATTCAATCAGATTATATATTTAAAAATTCTTTCCCACGGACTGTTCATGTTCACTGTACAGTAAGTTGCATTTCCACAGAGAACAAAAGCCTCCCAAGGCATCAGGACACAAGAAAAACATCACCGAATTAACAAAAGGTTTGAGTTTCACTGGGAAATTGACAAAAGGACCTCCAGCATTGAGGCATTGCAAGGGAGTGGGGGTGAGGGTGAGGGCCGAGGGAGTGGGGGGGGGGGGGGGGGGGTGAGGGGGAGGGGGGGGGGGGGGAAGGTGAGGGGCTGAGGGAGTGGGGGGTGAAGGTGAGGGGTTGAGGGAGTTCGGGGTGAAGGTGAGGGGCCGAGGGAGTGGGGGGTGAAGGTGAGGGGCAGAGGGAGTGAGGGGTGAAGGTGAGGGGCCGAGGGAGTGAGGGGTGAAGGTGAAGGGCCAAGGGAATGAGGAGGTGAAGGTGAGGGCTGAGGGAGTGGGGATTGAAGGTGAGAGCCGAGGGAGTGGGGGGTGAAGGTGAGAACCATGGGAGTGGGGAGGTGAAGGTGAGGGTCGAGGGAGGACAACAAAGGAGACGTTTGGAAAGACAGAGATTGCAAGTTGGTTAATCTAATGTTCTGGATGTCAACTACTCTCAAACAGTCTGGGGTTTAAGTCCCACTGCAGACACTTCCCAAAGTAGCACCGAGAGAGTGCCATTCTGTCTGAGGTGCTGTCTTTAACGGCCTGCCCCCTCAAATGGATGTGGAGATGCCGGTGTTGGACTGGGGCGGATAAAGTCAGAAGTCACATGACACCAGATTATAGTGCAACAGGTTTATTTAAAACACAAGTTTTTAGAGCGCTGCTCCTTCACTGGGTGAAGACACTTCACCCGACAAAGGGATTTACGCTCAGAAAGCTTGTGATTTCAAATAAACCTGTTGGACTATAACTCGATTGTCATGTGACTTCTGACACTCAAATGGATATGATAGGAGCCTTAGCTGTAATTGGAGAAAGAGCAGGAGAGAGTTCCCTCGTATCCTGGCCAATCATTAGGCCCTCTTCACTGAAATCACTGGGACCATTTACCCTTTCTCTGCGTTGACATGACCTGGGCATTGCTGGCAGAGCCACCCTCATTGCCCCTGAGATGTTGGCAAGGAGCCAATGGTCATTTCAGAGTCAACCACATCACTGTGGGTCTGGAGTCACATGCAGGTCAGACCAGGTAAAGCTGGCAGATTTCCTTCCTTGAAAGGCATCTGTGGCCTTGGCAACACAATAAATTTGTGGTTGCCATGAGACGAGCTTCTAAAATTCCAGACTTATTTAATTAACTGCATCGAAATTCCTCATACGTCACGGCAGGATTGGAACTCACACAACGGGTTGATTAATTCAAGCCTCCAGGCTATCAGTCCAGGAACATAACCATGATGCTACATATCAAATGCCTAGTCATTGCTGTCTGTGGGAGCTTGCTGCGCAAGTAATGGCTGTTGGGTTTCCTACCTTAAAGCTGTTACAACCCTTTTATAAAATAGTATGGTTGTGACATACCCTGGACCTACTCTCCTTTTCATTCTCAGTCATAATGAGGGTGATATTAAACCACACCCTCCTCAAGAAAGCAACAGGCCCCCTACTCTCAGCATCTGCTTGTTTCTTATTTGAATTTATAAATGATTTCAGGCTGGCTACTTCACCTGACCTCCCCAATAAATCCATCCCACATGTTGATCTCTCTCGCTCTGTCTGAGGAAGAACCTCCCAGGATCGTTGTTAATTCACCAGTTGGAATCTATGCCCCTTTGTCCTGTTTGCTCCGTTTCACAAACTGATTGTTGACACTGTTTTTCTAAAACTGAGGGAGCATCTGATGGATGCCTCGAAAATGATGAACAGGTTTGATGGGATTGGCTTAGAGAAGATGTTTCCACTTACAGGGGACAGGGGGTGGGGTGTGGGGTGGAGATCTCAAACCTTGAGGCCACAAAGATGAGCCATCCCACTGATAAATCCAACAGAGAATTCAGGAGAAATGTTTTTGCCCGGAGAGTCATGAGAATGCAGATGTTGATCCCATCCGGTGTGTTTGAGGCAAATGCTTGGAATGTATTTAGAAGGAAACGGGATGTGTGTGTGTGTGTGTGGTGGAGAAAAGAACAGAAGGATATGTTAATGGGATATGAGACATTAACACCATAGACCCAAGGACAAGCCTCTCTGCTCCTATGATGCTGCTTGGCCTGCTATGTTCATCCAGCCCTGCACCTTGTTGTCTCGGATTCTCCAGCATCTGCAGTTCCTACTATCTCTGACCAAATGATTCTGTTCCTGCAAGCTCTGAGTAATTATCCTGAGAATTTCATTTACCTTGGATGCTTTCTTTCCAAGTTGAAGAGCCTGATGTTCCCGTGATTCCCTCCCTGTGACACTTGAGGCCAGCCTTGTGGTTTGTGCTTTTAGAATGTAAATGTCCCTCTTAGTGAGGCAGAACTGAAGGTGAAGTAAATGGACAAGGAGTGAAAACTAAACACATTTGCTGTGCAGCGCATGCCACCTGGTTTTGTTTAACTGCAGTCTGTGTAAGGCGAAGCTCGTAGAAAAAGAAAGTAATGTAACCTCCCTCACATACTACCCTGCATCAATCCAGATGTTTCTGTTGCCCCCAGCCTGCTCTCACTCCCCAGTGTCTGTGTTCATGGGCTTGCTTTCAGCAGAGCTGACTTCTGTTCTGCTATTAACACCTACTCTCGATCTATGTTTTGTCCTTTCACAACAGCCGTTACCAGACCCTTTGTTCTGTGCCACCTGCAATCTCTAATCTCCCTTGGCCTCTGACTTCCCATCTGTTCCATTTGTTCCTTCCCAATTCTTTGTACAGTATAAAACCCAACACTTATCCACCACCCTGCCTTCAGCTCCAGAGGAGAGTCAGATCCGATTCAGAACCTTAACTCTGTTTCCCTCTGCATATATACTGCTAATATCTACCTGCTGTTTCTCCAGAGTTCTCTGTTTACAGGCCAGCTGTTACCAGTTATATTTGTAACATTGCAGAATTTATTTCAGACAAAAACCATACATAATGTTTCACAAATGACATCAAACGTGTCTTCGTTCTAGATTTTTACTGATACTATCCCTAGAAGGCTTTTCCCATCTCCTCTGGCAGCACATTCCAGATACTTACCACCCTCTGTGTAAAAAAACTTGCCTCTCACATCTCCTTTAAACTTTCCCCCTTTTACCATAAGCCTATGATCCCTAGAAATTGACATTTCTTCCCTGGGAAAAAGATTTCGACTATCTGCTCTATCCATACCTTTCATAATGAAGTAAACTTCTATCAGGTCGTCCCTCAGCCTCCAATATTTAAGTGAAAGCAAATGGTTTGTCCAATCTCTCCTCATAACTAATACCCTCAACCAGGCAACATTCTGGTAAACCGTTTCTTTGTATTCTTTGAGGGCTCAGTTTCCTAAATCTTACGTATGCCTTCTTTTTCTTGTTGTCCAAGCTCACAATTTCTCTTGACATCCAAAGTTCCAGAATCTTGCTATCCTTATCCTTCATTTTCACAGGAAAATGCTAGTCCTAAACTCTAATCAACTCGCCTTTAAAAGATTCCCATATGCCAGATGTGGGTTTACCATTAAACAGCCATCCCCAATCTACATTCCTCAGCTTCTGCCTAAATGTTCTTGTACTTAACCTTCCTCCAATTTTGTACTTTCACCTGAGGACGACTCTTATCCTTATCCATAAGTAACTTAAAACTCACAGAATTATAGTCGCTCTTCCTGAAATGCTTTCCCACTGAAATACTTCCTTCACATGGCCTGGCTGGACCCCAATACCAGGGCTAGTAAGGCCCCTTCCTTCACATGGCCTGGCTGGACCCCAATACCAGGGATAGTACAGCCCCTTTCTTCGTTGCACTATTTACATATTGTTTCAAAAAACTGTCCTGGACGCACCGAACAAATCCTCCCCCATTCCAGCCCCTGGCACCAAGGGAGTCCCAGTCAGCATGGGGGGGATGTTAAAGTCACCCACCACAACAACCTTGTTCCTACAATTTTCCACAATTTGTCCACATATCTGTTGTTGTATTACCCTCTGGCTGTTAGGAGGCTTGTAGTACCATCCCATCAAAGAGATTGCACCCTTCCTATTCCTAAGTTTTACCCATAAGGCCTGGCTGGATAAGCCTTCCAATGTGTCTTCCCTCTGTGTAGCTGTGATACTTCCCCTAATCTGTAATGCAGATCCCCCACCCCGTCTTTTACATCACTCCCTATGTCACCTGAAACACATAAATTCCAAAACGTTAAGCTGCTGGTCTTGTCCCTCTCTCAAATAAGTCTCTGTAACAGCTACAACATCATAGTTATATGTATTAATCCAGGCTGTCTGTTCATCTGCCTTACGCCTCACATTAAAACAAACACATTTCGGACTGGTCTGTCGTTGCTGGCTGCCTCAGTAAACAGTTGGGAATCACACTTGAGCCCAGACTGATGGAGAATGACAGTTTCCCTTTCCTTAAGTGTGTCAGTGAACCCGCTGACATTTCATAAATAAAAACCAAAAGAATTGCGGATGCTGTAAATCAGGAACAAAAACAAAGTTGCTGGAAAAGCTCAGCAGGTCTGGCAGCATCTGTGAAGGAGAAAACAGAGTTAACATTTCGGGTCCGGTGACCCTTCCTCAGAACTTGCTGCTGACATTTCATGACAGTTTCATGGTCACTCTTCCTAACTATGTCTCGGGTAAAAGGTTTCCAAAGCCATTTGTGTAACAGTGTACTTCCTGATGTTACCTCTGATGTGTTTCATTTGTATTTGACCTGTATTCTCTGAAATGTTTAACACAATCATGTTTAATGAAAAAAAAAGATGAGTAGGTGATTGATGAGTCTTATTGGTATCTCTTGATGTTGACTTCTGGTTGTTTCTTCCTCTTCCTGGGAAGTGCCAGTGGGGTGGACGTCTCAAAGATCGAGGAGATGGAGAAGATGCTGAAGGAGGCACAAGCTGAAAAGGCACGACTCTTGGAGACACGGGTATGTACAGGATTTCACTCAAACTGTGATTCAAGTCAGGGGAACTTCAGGAAGTGAAATGCTCAGTTGGAGAAATTAAAAACTTATCTCATGCCACAGCCTCCTGCCTACCCAATTCCAGGAGCTGTTCCTAAATTATCCTACCCGTGTCTCTGGGAGCTGTTCCTAAATTATCCTACCCAATTCTCTGGGAGTTGTTCCAAAATCATCCTACCCAATTCCAGGAGCTGTTCCTAAATTATCCTACCCAAATCCGGGAGCTGTTCCTAAATTATCCTACCCAAATCCGGGAGCTGTTCCTAAATTATCC